GAAAATAACTTGTATCAGAAATCTGAAAGCATTACGGTAGTACGGTACAGTAGTAGCTTATAAACATATTTAATAAGAAGTATACAATAAGTACTGAACACTTCCCAGTTTAAAATTAGTTTATTAAAGGAAACCTAAATGAGTGCTTCAGCAATAAGAAGAGATTTCAAATTTCATTAGCTTTGCTAGCGCAATAAGTTAGTCTTCTATCAAATATTTTATCTCTTCTTGCTTTAATGCTTATAAAAGAATCTTTTAGATCGGATATCTAAGAAATTACAGAATAACTCATAAACACATTTAATAAGAAAGATACATCAAGTACTAAGCAATACTGATTTTAAAAAAAATGTTTATTATTAGTATTACGGAGTAGAACATAAACACATTTAATTAGAAAAATACGAACCCTAAACAATACTGATTTTAAAAATTGTTTATTATGGGGCCTAAATGGGTGCTTCAACAATGGGAAGATATATAAAATCCATTAGTTTTGCGAGAGCAATAAGTCAGTCTTCTACCAAACACTTTATCTCTTATAGCTTAAATGCTTATAAAAAGAATCCTTTAGATCTGAAATCTAAAAAATTACAGAATAACTCATTTAATATCAAACATACAACAAGTACTAAACAATACTGATTTTAAAAAATTGTTTATTGTGGTACCTAAATGGGTGCTTCAACAATGAGAAGAGATTTCAAAATCCATTAGCTTTCCGAACACATTCTGTTTGTCTTCTATCAAACATTTTATCTCCCCATGCTTTTAGAGTTGCACAACAATTTCTTAAGGGAGAAAAACTGCTATCTCCATATTTCTCCCTAAGAAGCTTATTCTTCGTAGGAGAGGTGAATAGAATAAAATATGTAACGAAAAGAAGAAAAAAAAACGCCTTTATAAAGGGTGGAGATTCCCAAAGTCATTCTTCTCGTCACTTTTTTTTAAGGAAATAAAAGACCTTCTGGCAGAAATATTTCTATTTATTTCATTTTGCCACAAAAAAAATCTCGAATAAGGAAAAAAAAATGCCATACTTCTAACCCTCAAAAGAATCTCAGAAATACACGTTCGCCAGTTTCAATTTTCTTTTGTTTTGAAGAAAAGAATCGTACATCAAGTCTTCTTTCCAACCACTAACTCACGTGGCTTTAAGAAGAACGTTTTTGGAAAGAGGTCTTTCATAAAAATAGAAATAAACAACAGGATCACCAAACAGAACTGAGCTTTTAACTTCCATTATTTAGTTTATTTTTTCTTTATTTCTTACAGTCGAAATGACAGATGGATTTACCAGATGGAAACGGACAATATATTTCTAAATTTATTTCTTTTAGTAATTTAATTACTCTTCATAATAAATGAAAACGTCTTCATTTATTTTATATCTCTGCCTACAAAAAGAAGAATCTGTCTCCGTCAGCGTTGGGTGTCATAGCTTATTGGAAAAGTTTTCGATATTTTCAATTAGCCTGATATTATTCAGGCTTGGTACAATCAGTCTACGCTCTTAGAATAATTTAAAAACGAATGAAAAATTACTCACTCAGACAGAATTTCTTTAGTCTTATTGTAATTATCTTACTCCTCTGTCAGCGCTTTGAATTTAAAAAAAAAGGATAACGAATCAACTCAGGATTCATTATTGCCTAATAAGAAAATGAAAGAATACTTTAACAAGACTGATGATGCTAAATTCAAGTAATCCCCAAAGTTTTTCACTCAACGCTCTGTGGAGAAAGCAAATAGTCAATGAGTTATTCAGCTCAATCAATAAAGTTTTATTTATTTCACACTTTAAAATCAAAGAATGCTGCAGAAGTTGTATTGAGATTGCTGAAGATTTGTTTTAGACACTAGAGCAGCAAATATGTTCAGCAAGTGATGCAACAATTTTAGACACTAAAAATTTAGGGCAAATTTAGATAAGTTTAACAAATAGTGCAGCAAATTTAATCACTAGTGCAAAAAACCAAAAACTATATTCAACAAACAGTGCAGCAAATTTAGATACCAGTGCAGCAATATGTTAAGCAAATAGTGTTACGAATTTAGACGCTAGTGCAGCAAATATGCAAAGCTATAACCGTCGTAAATTTCGAAACGAACATGCCGACACCTTGCTTACGTAATTTTATTTTATTTTATAACCGACCCGATTTTGGGTTTACTACAACTAATGCTAAACTCCGGAGCCTCGTAATTTTGAATCAATCCAGAAGACAAGGATACTCCTGGATCAATACCCCCAGAGGTATGATTTGTAATGGGAACATGGAGATCTTTGTAACTCGACTTATTCAACGTGCACCAGTCACCATTTACTACACGGAGAGTCTTCGGCCTGCGTAGATAGAACCCACTACCTCTTGTACATGAGCCCAGTGCCCTACCAACCAGGCTATCCCGGCTCCCTGTTTACGTAATTTTTAACGTGTAATACGTATTTATTTTATTTTATGACCGCCGTTGAACAGTCGACCCAATTTTTGGGTTTACGACTACTAATGCTCAACACCGTAGCCTTGTAATTTTGAACCAATCCAGAAGACAAGGAAACTCCTGGATCAGTACCCTGTTTACGTAATAGCGATGATTATAGTTTGATAAAGACGGGATAGCCTGGTTGTAAGACGTTGGGCTCGTGTTGGTGAGAACGCGAGTTCGAATCCCGCCTGCCGAATCATCCTCGTGTATTAAATGGTGACTAGTGCATGTTAAATCTGTCGGAGTCACAAAGCCCTCCAAGTTCCCATAACAAATCAATACCTCTTGGGGATTGATTGTTCTCTGGTTCAGGTCAAAATTACAGTTTGTGGATGAATGAATGACTATGATTAGATCCTTCTAGAACGGGCTGTGACGTGTATGTGGCTGAAGTCTCATTCTTGACCACAGATGGTGCCACTGCAAAACAAGAAGCGCGCCCTCTGCTTTGAAAACTCGCTTGTTTTTCTAAACAGGCTTGCTGGTATTTGCAAGTGCACAAATAACAGTTGCAACAAGAGTTCTATTAAAAAAATTAAATTCTTTTTCCGCACTTCTTTTTATAAAAAGTATATTACGGAAATCATATCCTATTATAATATTATTCCTATTATAATCTCATTGAAAGCGATTGAGCAATAGAAGATATATTTCTACTTATAAGGTCAGTGAGCTCGTAACAGTAAGCCTAAAGCAGCTATGAAATATTGATAAGTTTTCCAATCGGTTTTGTACAAAAATAAATGTACACAATGTACCTTGCACCGAGAAATTCGGTTTTATAAATTGATCTACAACATGGGCAATCGGTGGCATTACAATTATGAAATTGAAGGTGAATATTCATGTATGGTCGAATTTGAGTACTTTGGAACTCGATGTTGGAAAGAATTTATAATTTTATAAATAATTAAAATTATTGAAGCTGAATCAATAGAAATGGAAGGAGTATAACAAGAACAGCTAAATTAGCTCTACATACAGTCACAGAGACAAAAACGGAAAATTTTTGATTGTGTATGCATTTTGAAACTGCTACTTTGCACAGCATTTCTAGGATTTGCTGAAATCTCGATGAGTATCATTTGCCCTCCCTTATACATTTATCTGTTTATCTTAGTCTATTTTTACTTTAGCATAGGGATCTTTTGAATTTTTTTATGATGAAGTTTATTATTTTTGTATACCATTCCCTTGATTTAGAGTCTCGTATAATCCAGTTACACCACTTTTTTGTCCGGACTTCTTCTCAGGATTGTTTTTTGTAAAGTAAAGCGTTAGAGTTAATTTATATTCAACATTATATTTACAACACATTTTTACCCCTTCATTTCATATCCCAAAAGGTATTAACAGTGCTCATTTTTTAAAACTGCATTTGTAATGAGCACACACGCATGTCTAACAAATAAAGGAATAATAATTTTTTTCCTATCTGAAGTTTTTCTGGCCGAATCAAATGTTTGAAAAGTCAAATGCTTAAAATATTTGTTAACTGCCATTTTTCTCTTACTCTTTGAAAATTATTGATTGCTGAATGTCTACATTTGTTGGTGTAGAGGAAAAATATTTAACATGCTTTAAAATACTTGTTACATTAAATCGCGTGAATGTCGTGAGTCACACACTATGAGAATCAAATGCAATACATTAAGTCGCTTAGTCACTGTCGAATGATCGAAATACTGGTTAATTATCTTTATTTTCACCTTGAAGAACTGCTATCATTGCATGGGTTATCATTTGATGATATTAAGAGAGGGATTTTGATCATTTCGGGAAAAGCGATAGTATTCTTGCAAAATGTCGACCTTCGAATGATCGAAATACTGGTTAATTATCTTTGTTTTCACCTTAAAGAACTGCTATCATTGCATGGGTTGACATTTGATGGTATTAAGAGAGAGATTTTGATCATTTCGGGAAAAGCGACTGTATTCCTGCAAAATGTCGACCTTCGAATGATCGAAATACTAGTTAATTATCTTTATTTTCACTTTAAAGAACTGCTATCATTGCATGGGTTGACATTTGATGATATTAAGAGAAGGAATTTGATCATTTCGGGAAAAGCGACTGTATTTCTGCAAAATGTCGACATTCGAATGATCGAAATAATGGTTAATTATCTTTATTTTCACTTTAAAGAACTGCTATCATTGCATGGGTTGACATTTGATGATATTAAGAGAAGGATTTTGATCATTTCGGGGAAAAGCGACTGTATTCCTGCAAAATGTCGACATTTGAATTATCGAAATACTGGTTAATTATCTTCGTGTTCACCTTAAAGAAATGCTATCATTGCAAGGGTTAAGTTGACATTTGATGATATTAAGAGAAGGATTTTGATCATTTCGGGAAAAGCGACTGTATTTCTGCAAAGTCAGATTTCTACCGTAACATACTATTCTTAATATTTCAATATAACCATTAATAGGATAATTTTTGACGTTTTCTCACCGGGATTAAATTACAATAGTGACTCATTCATGCGTCTTTTGTTGCAGGCTGAAGAGACAGTGACATGGATTACATCCGGGAGTTTGACATCCGTTTAGAAAAAGAAATGTATTATGCTGGTGAAGTTCTCTCTGGCCATGTCATACTTGACACAGTGGAAAACTTCAAACTCAAAGGTGAGCAAAACATTATGGTAAAAACATATTTGGTTCGTTCTCTAATTATATTATGTGATATTTTAATTACTTTTTTTTAAAATGAGAATTTATGATAAACGTCATTGTTTGCAATTCTAGATTGTAAGAATAGTGTGGAGACTATATTGTTCTTTATTCTTACTGACTGAATAAGTCATATAATAAAATTAAGTACTACTTAAATTCTGAAATTAAAAAAAAATTGCTCAACACAACTCTTCAATTATATTAACTATACTATTGAATATTATTATATAATTATATAACTGAAGTTAATATAATTACATCAATTATATTAACAATTATATTAATATATCAATTATATTTAATAATTTTTGCTTTTTTAAGAAAAACACACAAAAAAAATTTACCGCATTACATTTACATGGCTCTTTTTATAAAAGGGCCCCGTTTTTATAAAATTGGGAAAAATCTAGTCATAATTTTGGGGATCCATAACAAGCGCTAAATCAGGGAATTTTTAACTTAGAAATTTTAAATTAGTTTATGAATGAATTGTAGCTTAATGTAAATGAAATGATATAAAATAATTAGTATTAGAAATTAAACAGAAAAACAAGTAAAAAAACTACTAATTTGATAGATCTATTAGTAGTTTTGATAATATTAATTTAATTTTTACAATAAAAAAATGCTTTGAAGAGTATATTCTTATTAAACAGTACTTCATGAAATATCAGTTTTAACTGTAATAAATTATTATCCGCTAGCGTACCCAAATTTTTCTTAAAATAGCCCTTGATTAAGAAAAAAAAAATAGAGCTATTAAAAATGGCCAAACAAATAAAAGCCTCCGTGCTTTTTTTTTCTTAAAAAAAACTGTTGTCTAATGCTGTGGTTGTAATCGTATGCCCTTAAGGCAAAGAGAGTGGGTTTCTTCTTATTTGACAGTGGCGCCATCTATGGCCAAGAATTCAATTTCTGCCACACAAATTTGTCATAACCCGCTCATAGGGCAGACCCATTCATACATTCACAGATCGTAATTTTAACCTGAACTAAAGAACGATCAATCTCTAATTCAGTATTCCCAGAGGTATGATTTTTTACGGAAACATGGAGAAATTTGCGACCAGGGAGTCAGGGAGATTTAGCGTGCACCAGTCACCATTTACAACACTGGTGAGGATCGAACCTACGCCCAATTCTTTGTGTGAGCAAATTTATGTAACAAATAAATAGACCACATTAAAAAAATAGATTTTTCTCAGGATGAAATCTTTAAAAGATATTTTATTAAGTTAATTTATTTAAACTGAACTTTAGTTCTAAATCGTGCATTGAAATATAAAAATTTAAAATCTTTAATCATTGCTTTTAAAATTTCAAACGAAAATCTTCAGCATTGTTGACATATACTTATGACACAAAATGCATTGCTTAACCTTCAAGATCTTGTAGCAATCTAAGCAATAGAGGTGACCACATCTTGCGCAGTGCAAACCTCCTTTTTTCTTAGCTTCTTCATAGAAGTGCAGACATCTAACACATTGGGGAACGTCAGGAACACGCTTTCTTTTAAGTTGTGCCCCTAGAAAAAAGAAACCCATACTTCATATTTTTAAAAAGATTTTAACAATTAAAACTTTTTTTTATCCATATACAATAGATATCGGTACTGTAAATAAATGCGAAAATACTCGGCTACAGAGGGGACGGATATGTATAAATCTTCCTCGGAAATTGCCAACAGCAGTTTCTTCCAGAGAAAGTATGTGTGTTTTGCTTCCTCTCTGAATTTCACTCAGCATTATGCAACTGCTATTACTGATTTGCACGTGGCTTTTAAGAAAAAGTGCACCTGAACATTTACGTAAATCGAATATTTATTTATATTTTTTATTTGCAATTTCTGAAAGTTTATAAAATGAAGAACCGCGATTTGATGGAGGAAGACCGAATTCGATGGAGGCTTAGGTGACATTTGAGTGAATATGAGTAATTCGGCTTCAATTTTTTTAAATTGGCAATACAATAAAAATTAAAGATTTTTCTTCCATTGATTATTCTCAAGCATCAGTTGGTGAAAATTATAGATTCCTGTCACTCATCTAAATTATTCGTGTGTCATAGTGTTCATCCAACACCTAGAAGGAAGAAGGCTGCAGGACGGATCAAATCGTAGCGCGTAACATAATCTGCGCAGTGGGGGAGAAATTAAGAAAGATGTCACAACGTTCGGGCTATTAAGCTGCTCAGTAGAGGAAATACGAAAGATGTCATACAGTTTGAACTACTAAAGGATCAAATTTCTTGTATATGGTAACCCGTGCTGAGGCCTTCTCTCTTCTAGGAGGCATTGGTTCATCCTCTTGACGTTTCATGTTGCCCCAAAAACCTGCTGAGATTGCTCGTTGCCTGTTTGTAGTTAAATGCACTTGGAGCATTTTTCTTCTCTCAATGTATTCAAAATCTGTCAATTTGCACCGTTAATAATTGAGTTCTGCGAAACTTAAAGTCCTGTCAAGGAAAATTAAGGCTGAATATTTAAATATGCCAGAATACGATTCTTCTTAAGGAAGCACAGTTTTTTAAAAATAACTTTTCTTAGAACCTTCCTTTACTATGTCCTTTTATTACAGCGCAAATATAAATATGAAAACACTACATATAATAATTCGTGGTCAGTAAGACATTAGTATCTAGACCATACTTGAAACTTTCATGGGTATATTCAGTGATAAACATTTTGAATTTATATTTTTTTAATTTAGATCTATTGAATATCATATTATGTGTTCTTCACAATAAACCTAATTTATGAATAGAAAATATTCAAAAGTTTTTAAAAAGCAAATGTCAAGATCTATCAAGATTTATTTCCAATGCGCTACAATTAATAAAATTATTTTTTTCAGAAACATATTACATGTTAAAATCACTATGCTGATTGGTGTACATAATGTTCTATAATCCCCGCTTTTAATATATATTTTTATTCCTTATCGAAAATGAACAAAAAAAAATCTCAAGTTGAAATTAAAAAATCAAACTTTACCTCTTTCTTTACGAGAAAAAAATATTTCTAACCCATCTTTATTACAAAGCAATCATGTTAAGCAAATTGTTTTAGAATTATTGCATTTTTACGTGTAAATGCAAAAAGAAAGCGCTAAAATTGTATTATACGCATATTAGATACGTATTTTAAACAGCTAAGTACGCCTAAATGAAACTTTATGCCTTGAATAAATCCAAGTTTTTCTTTCCTTGCTTTCAAAAACTGATATTTCTCAAGCCGTTCAAAACACGCATAAATCTCGGATGCTCAGAGAAAATGCAGAGCTTATCAGAATTTATTTTATTGAACAATAACCATAATACTCCCCCTTCTCCGATTAAGCTGAGGCGAAAAAGTTGAAGGCAGCACGTTTTTATGTTACCTGAAATTATTTATGTCCTTCTCGTGTTAAAATGTGTTCAACAACATAAAATGTAAGGTTAACAGGCTAAGGTCAAATATTCTTTCCATTTTTCTTACATAAAAAGCTCACGTGAATATTATGATAAGATGATGGAAGTGTTCGTTGCATTTTAGTAAAGTCATCTTACAATGAATTCAAAATTTTTTTATTTATTATGAACTGGAAAATTGGTTAACCAGTTTTTAAATTTATATTAAAAAAAAATCAGAGCTAAAACTCTAGCTTCATAAGTTTACATGATTGCACATAAATTGATTGTTCTTTTTCTCATATATTACACATTATTCATAATAACAGCTGGGCTCATAAATCGATGTATCATGAAATATCGTCATTTTATGAATATTGATACGATATTGAAACGAAATGTATTCTCATTTTATATCGCGATTTCTGTGTGTTACGATAAATATTAAATATCTCATAATTATCAATAATGTAAAAGTCGCGATCATTATAGACAAAGACAAATATCGTGATAAGTACCGATAACGATAAATATCTAGCACAAGATTATCCCAAGTTTTATCGGTAATATCGTGATCTGTTATGAAAATCAAATACAAGAATATCACGAGTTTTATTGAAAACAATGATTATTGAATGCGTGATGACATTTTAAATCGATTGTTTACGAACATTTTACAATTATAAATATATAATAATAATATTAATTTGAAAACTTATTAATATATAGATAGTTGTAAATACATAATATTTAATTCCGAACATGTAATATTGAAATCCCTAAATATATCATATTATTTTACGAACCTATTATAGTTGGCTGTAAGTGCATAAAATCAATTTATGAACATGTCGGTTGGTTACAATATCGTAACTTTCTTAGTAAAATCGTTAGGAAAATTTCGTAAATTTGAGTTAGATTCAGTACGCTGCCCTGCGCAAGATTTGAAGCAAAACAGCGCATTATTTTTAAGATCTTACGCATGTTTAGGTTTTGCTGACGTTTTTTTACAACGCAACAAGCATGCTGTTCACAGCCGTTAAATGTTGGTCTTGTTCAAGCTTATCTTCAATGAACTAACAACATGGACATGTTAGAGATAGATTAAGAAGAACGCAAACGTGAAGTGAAGATGGAGGATTCGTTATTACAAAATGTTAAAATGAATCGTGTGATTTTACAAAATAATTTACTAAAAAAATTAATTTTATTGGTTTTAGTTTAAAATGATGGTTGTCTAATTATAATAGGTCCATAAGAAACTAAATATTTTTTCGTTTTTAATATTATAGAGCATATTTACTTCCTTTATGCAATTTAGTTGGAAATTTAACTTCCATGATATTCAAGACCATTGTAAACTGTTGTGATTTTGTAGTTGAAGTTAGGATCGTATTCTACAATGCTAGCCGTTTTTAACTTACGGGTAATTGCAAAATCTCTTATTTTTATTCACGCAAGATTGATATTTTTTCATGGGCGTAAGTGCATTTCACCAGGATTAACGAATGCGCATTTCAAATCTTACGTACGGTAGCGTACAATATGTAACTTAAAATTCCCAATCATCTAATTAGATAAAGCTATTTTCAATAAATAATATTTTAACTGTGGTAGCTCAGGAGGCAGAGAACTCCCAATGAGATGACCTGGGTTCAAAACCCAGCAATGGCTGGTCCATTCCACACCCAGCTAGCACCGACCACAATGTTGACGTAAAATATCCTCAATGGTAGACCAATCATGGGTTAGAGTCCCCTTGCCGTCAGGCTTACCTTGGAAGATTTTCGCGGTTTTCCTCTTCATCTAAAGCATTTGCGGGTTAGTTCCATCCAAAAGTCCTCCGCGAAGGCAAATTTCTCCCAATACTTGATACAGGATTTCTCTTGTCTTCTGAATTGGGTTCGAAATTACCAGGCTACGGACTTGAGCAATGGTAGTCGTAAACTCAACATTAGATCGGCTGTTCAACGAGGATGATGGGAAAAAATGTTTTTTTGTATATGGCGGTCTATCGTTTTAACACATTCCTATTAAAGCAATTATATATATTCTTTCGATATAATCTATATTCTATCTATAATATATAATTCTTTCTATAATTTTCTAGAATGCTTCATTTGTTCTTTCACTTAGCTCTTTTACTGAAAAAAAAAGAAGGAAAATGGGCATTAAAGCGACTAACAAATTATTTCCCGCTTTCTATTAAAGCTCTTTCGTCGATAACTTGGCGAAATGCCTTCTATAAGATTCAGTAATTCCGTAGAGAGCTGTATTTGGGCAGAACAGAAGGAAGGTATACCTGTTACAGAATTGCCCCATAAAAGGGAAACGAGAGCCATATAAAGTGTCATATTTCATTCTCAAGTGGCGCGGGACGCCAATTTAGACTGCCAAACACTACTGTTGACCCCAAGCTCATCCCGAATCTCCCGTTTGCTCTACTGATCAGTAAAGAAATTAATTAAAAAAATATATTATTTCTATACGCTATATCTGTACTATCCGATTACAGGCCTTAATTTATAAATAAATTGTTACATGCGGTCGATGCTTTGAGTATATATCAGATTGGTTTCGAATTTCCCTTCGAATCTTGTTACTCTAATTAAGTCAACTTATTATTTTTATCTACTATATTCTATTCACCTCGGTCTACATTGTTTGAATTCCCAGGAATTCATTACACACTTTTCCAGGTTTCCGCGGAAATGGATTGCTCTAAAAAGCTTTTAAGTCCGTTTCAGATTTAGTTATTAGATCTTTAAATTTTAAGTTTACATTGTTACACTTAGTGTGTATATTTATTTAGGTTGATGTATTTATTTAGCTTAGTGATTAAATTGTATAGAATTAACTTTAAATTATCTACAAAGCTTTAATACGTAGGATTGAAATTATAAGCAATCGAATAGGTTTGTAAGTTGGAAGCTTCTTTACATCGATTTTAGAGAAAGAAATTTTTTACTCTTTGACGCAGAATTTTCAATAAACATAACTTTCATACTTTATTATTTTGTATTAATTTAGGTTAAAATAAATCAAATATATTATATTTAGCATTTTAATCATTTTTTATTATAAAATATAATATCGAAAACCGGTGTCTCTTTTTGCGTTAAAGGTAAAAAATTTCCA